TTTTTTTTTTTTTTTTTTTTCCGTTAATGCTATGGCCTGTCGTTGTTGACCATATCCATCCCTGTAAGTCTACCCATCCTCTGTGACACGTAACAAAGCTCACATCATCTTAAACTGGTTTCTTGAACATGACAATGAGTTCCCCGCACTTAAATGACCTCCAGAGTTTCAGAGCTCAATCCAAAGTGGTGGAACGGGAGATTCTCATCATGGTTATGCAGCAAATCTACAGCAACTGTTTGGTGCTATCATGTTAATATGGAGCAGAGTGTCTGAGGAATGTTTTCAGTGCTTTTTTTGAATCTGTGCCATGAAAATTTAAGGCAATTATAAAGGCAGAAGTGGGTTCAACCCAGTACTAAGAAAGTGATGGAGTATACTTCTGTACTGTAATTTGAGTGTCAGGTTTTTCTTTTACAATGTTTCTGATGCTGCCCCTTCACAGTATTGCTCTATTTCTGCCATGCAGTCTAGGCTGTGGGATTGGCTACGGTTACCTGCACAGGATACCTACCCTGCCATTTGCTGAGGGTAAGAAGATCAGTTTACCAGTACAGACTCATTACGAACCACCTCCTTCACCAAAAGATGGCTTCACAGAGGTAAGTTGGCATCTTTAATAACTGCATCCAGAAGTAAATCTCATTTTGATGCTGTCTGGCTTCCAGCTTTTGTTAAAATGTACAAAACACTGTTGGTTACCAGGTCCACCTCTCTGCCGTCGTTCCAACTGTTCCAATTGCTGTGTCGTCTTCTGCTTCGACGGGATTGGAGCAAGGTCTCGCTAGCTTGTCCGTCAGCTCAAACCCAACATCGGTCCTGAGCAGTCATACAGGTACACTGTCCTCTCTGACTCTTTAGCATTTACAATTTGAGCTGATCTGAGGATGAAATCTCACGGAAATTAATTAGTAGTTCAAATGAAACCTAAGTGGAATAACAGAACAACAAGAGTTAAAGGCATTTAGAAACCTATAATATCTCCTCCTTGTTGTCGCTTTCTCATGTAATAAAACATATGATTATATAATTTCAGGAGTTCCTGCTGTCCCGCTGCACAACCAAGTACCCCTCTCACAAACTGTTCCACTGTCTGTCAGTCCTGCTCCAACGCTACCAGGTTGGTTAAATTACATTGGGTGTTCATAGCTCCCCAGTTTTTGTGCCAAGTACAGTCTGTAAAATTCATACTTTATGATCCATGATGCGAGTCTGCTACACCTGTCTACCGTATTTTTTCTCCCTTTTCTTTTTGTTGCATAGGCGTAATGCCCCTGCCTGGAGGTCTTTCACCTTTTCCTAATCTACCAAACCTAAATGTCTCATTGCCAGATGTGAGTCATGCATTGCCACGGGGAGTTGGAATACAGCCCGCAGGTATAAATGTGTTCTGTCAAGCATGCTTGGGTTCAGATGTAAAGGCTAACGCTGATATTTTGCTTTCTTACTATCCAATGCAAATTAGAAATGTATTGTAAAGACGTACAGTGTAACGACCACAGGCAGCTGAGAATAGTCCAGCTAAATACAGTTTATTACTACTGAGTGACTCTGATGGAACACGCCCAGCTTAGTAACATTTTAGCTTTTAAAAGTGTGATGGCAGGCTCGCTGTTTTTGGTGTTCCCAACATTTGTTTATAGAAACAAATGTTTAAGGGTTTATTTTTAATATTGAGATAGCAGCGATTTAGTGAAACTTGGCTATAGGATTTAGATTGACTGACTTTTAAGTGTCCTTGAAAATTCTGGAACAGGTTTGACTTATTAACATCACTCCTTCTCCCATTTCTAGTCTTGACATGATCTTTTCATAACACAGTTAAGTGACAGAGACATTGTGCAAAGATGTATCCAACAGTTCAACCTGGTAAATTCTAACGGTTGGAAGAGGAAAAAAGTATTTAAAAAAAGAAAAACAGGTTTTCTTCTTTTACAGTTCTGTAAACATTTCTATTTTTGCCTCCATTGTTTGTGTCCATTCATATTTTTCCTCTAGGCTTTGACACATACTTCAGATGTGTCATGTTGACTAGTGTATTATGTCATTTTACTGGATCCTCTGATTAATTGGTTATTAAATGTGGGTTATCTATGTCTACGTGGTTATAACATTCAAACACAGCATCAGGGTCAAGTCTGGATTCAGTATCTTGCCCAAGGATAAACTGACAAGTGGACTGGAAGAGCCAGGGATCGAGCCACCAAATATCTGATTGGCAGACAACCAGCTTCACCTCTGACCCCTGTGTAAACTGTTTCGAACTAGCCAAAATGTTCTTGAGACTTGACAGATGACAAAAGTAAAACTGAGTATAGTGTGGGTATAAGACATCCTCCTAGAAAAGCTTCAACTAGTCTTTGCATTGAATGTTTAGTCTTTAGAATACTATTCTTCCAAAAGATATTCCCTCATTTGGGACTCATGATAGAGAGAACTAAAGTCAATTAAAAATCTCCCCGAGGTGTCCAATTAGTTTGAAATGTGAGGATACAATTCTCATTGTTATCATTTCCATAAGCATGTTATTGACCCCTTGAGCCATGTAGATGGATAATGTCATCATAGAAGAGTCTACTACCATCGTGATCAATCTTTTTAATTGTCCCCCATGGCATACTAGAATCCATAACTGGAAGGGTCAAACATTTCCTTTACTTTTCCTCCCATCCACATGTTTGCAGCTGCAGTCTAAAGGACCTTTAACTCTTTTACCCTATAAAAGGGATAGCTGTAGATCAGTGTAGCAGATCATCAACTAATCTGAAGGTTGGTGGCTCGATCTGTAAGCCATAGTATCCTTGGACAAGATACCGAACTCAAAGTTATTCTCAAGATTTACTGAGAATCAATCCCCTTATCATAAAGATGACATCTGATAACCACCCTGTATCCTTAATGATGAGTTGACACCACAGTATATATCCATTAAGATGTGGTTTGACAACCAAGGCAGAAATCACCCTCACTAACTTCTGATGCACACCAAGAAATTTGTTTTTGGAAGAAAACCTGAAATGACCGAAAGTGTTCGGTTCAGAAAAGGGTTACCCCCGGTAGGCGTCCAAGGGTGAAAGGGTTAAACCAATTACTAAGTCGATCATTTGAAATCATGTGAAATTTGCTTAGTGTTTATATTTAGACTAAAGTTGTGGAAGAGTAACTTACCTTTAATCTTCAAATGCATTGTTGCACAGAAACTGGATTCTGACTCACACCTCTTTGAAAGCGCTTTACAAAGGCATCTTTCCAGGATTGGTTGAAATGGAAGCAAACACCGTCTGAGCCTTTTCTTTAATACTGAGTGTCGTCTCCAGGCAGGAAAAGTAGAAGTGTAGTGTCCAAGAGCTAATGTTGTTAAAGTAAAATTACAATTTTGCTAACTGAAGGGTTTTGTGTCATCTTCTGCAGGTCTTCCACCTCTTTCAGCAATTAACCTGCCAGGTGTAGCCCCCAGTGCAACTCCTCCCCTATCCAACTTTGTTTCACCCCCAGTCTTTGCCAGTACTTCCCCTGCTTCCACTATGCTAATGAACAGTTTTCATGCCAAAACCCCCAACTCCCCATCAGTGACCACCTCTGGATCAATAAATATTACAATGTCTGCAGACTCATCTTAACAGAAAGCAAAAATTGAAGATGTTGGCATGCTCTCTGTAGAGTCTTTACACAGTGTAATCTGACCATTCACCCCAGCACTCGGCTGACAAATTCCACATGCAAACAGACCATCAGGATTGTTGTGCGAGCTCGGCTGCAAGAATGGAACTGGTATTAAATGCAGGGCATCCAGTTTGTCCTGGAAATGGTGTGTCAGAAGAAAAGCCCTGCGTCTGAAGGCAGTTAAAGGAACTTTGAGAGCATTTTGGAGTTTAAGTTGTTCTGTGATAGAGGACATTTAAATTCTTTTTAAAATATGGAACATGGGTTATTCAAATTGTGCAAATCAGCATCTTCGCATCTTCAAGGATTACACTACTTAACGGGAGGGCTCAACTATAACTTATACTACTGGGGATCTTCCATTAGAAAACAAGGCTTGCTGGCTGCAGGATTGCAGACATTGTTTTCTTGTATTGTATGAAATTATTTGTAAAGTGAAATATTGTTGCCTTGATTAAACTGATGTATTTTCTCAATGTTAGCCTCTGGTTTTTCTCATCTGTTGTGAATCTTACCTGCATCCTAGTATGTAATGTAATACTATGTAATACTAAACATAGCCAGAGGGTGTCAGTATAATCACAGAAATAATGGTAGGTAGAGCACACCTGAAAATTTACAGTGAATAAGCACTAAATTATCTTTTTATAGATGCAATGAGAGTGGATTATGTGCACTAAGATCAATGGCGAGGAAAAAAAAAAAGTTTCCTGGTATTTATTCACTCTTAGCAGAACTGTACAATTTGTACCCGAAGTGGAACATAAAGCCCTTGAAAAGTAAGAGCAACAAAGCAGCAAAATGAAACCACTCCAGGAAACTACTCTTAAATTGGGAAAAATTTGAACTCTTTGTACACATTACTGCTGCAGCTCAAAATTTGAAAATTCACCTGTACAGCATATACAGTTTCCAATTTATCTGTTAATATTCCTGCATAGGGTTTTTTTTTTAATACAATTTAATTTTTCTACATTTGGTTATTTTGTGCATTAAACGTAAGTATGCTGCCCCAATCTACATGACACTAGTTGCCACTTGTATGCTACACATTACATTCTCATGGCTAAATAACTCAAATTAAAGCCTAAAATTTGTGGAAAAACAAAAAACATAACCAAAACAATTACCCAATCAATGGTGAAATCTTTGTAGTTCTACTTAACAATGACTGTCTTCTCCTCACAGTAAATTAACTTCTAGCAGCTGAATCATTTGCACCCTGGCAGAACCACATTATTTAATCTAAATGGTGGCCTGCCAAAGTCTCCCTTCGGCCCTTTAAGGCCGTGTCCATCAGCAAGATCCGAACCGAGTGTCCAGTCACATTTTCTTCAAGGTATGTAGTCAGTTTCAGTGCTTTTTTTTTTTTTGTTAGACCTTCAACGAGATCCATTTACCCATGTCCTTTACCCGTCCCTTTACCGTCCCTCCAACTCATCAAGCCCTGGTAAACAAGTAGAAGCCTGGCACAGGTCAGAGGAGGCCAGGTGATGCCTTCCACCTGAGCCCGTTCCTTCCATCGCTGGCTGTTCCTCCTCTTACGAGCCCAAGCCTCTGAAGAGCTCTGCAGGTGCAACTTCAGTCATCAAGTTTTAAATTTTTATGCGCATTTTTGTTTTTTTGTCACAATTCAAAATTGTCAATATGAGATGTTGCTGGAGGAGGCTGGACTTGAGACCGCAGCACTCATTTGCAGATTTCCAGAGGAGCTTGATCTCCGGATGTGAGGGAGCAAGTAGGGGTCACTTCCCAGCTGGTGAACGTCGATCCGGTCCTCCTTCCTGTATGCCAGGCACCGCCGTATGAAAGCCTGAAAGTTGAAGAATGTATTCAAAATTAACAAGTCATAATGTGTGATGATATTTAAAAGACAGCAACCGTGTGCAAGTTCTGCTACCTTTGCTTCGTTACTGGAAACTGGCTTCACAGGGAACTGAACGTCGGTAGCTTTGAGTATGGTGTTCTCCTGCAGGATATCTTGTTGTGACTGATTGTGGCCAAAAGGCTGGAAAGAAGGACAACTTTATCATCAGGCATAAATTAACATAAACACTGCTAGAAGACCAGCCATCGTCCTTACCTTCCTTCCATACAGACACTGGAAAAAGATGACACCCACAGACCACACATCCACCTTGTTGGAGATCTTTGGAGGTTCTTTACCAACCACAAAACACTCAGGAGGCAAGTACCTGATGTCACAATATGCATAAATCAAAGGACAAGATTGGCACACACATTTATGGTCAGTACCGTTTTTACAATTTTAAGTTACTTATAGATTACTACAACTACAAATAGTAGTAGTAATAGTACTGTTACTACAAATGGGTGCCTATTTTATGCTACTTTTTTCTTTCCATTATACCTTGCTGAAATAAATAAAATCATGCCAGGTATCTATACTGATATGAACTGGGTAATATGTTAGGAACAAAAGGACGCCACACCCTTTGATGGAAATGAAAATTATTAACAATACAGAGAATTCAAAGACAGCCCAAAATCAAAGTGAAAAACTGATGCAGCAGGCTAGTCCAAAATTTCATCACACATTCACAACTCAAAATGACACTCCGTAGTTTGTATGGTCCTATGTGCTTGTATGCATGTCTGGCAAAGTCGGGGATGCTCCTAATGGGATGCTATCCTGGGGAATATCCTCCCAGATCTGGACCAGGGCATCACTGAGCTCCTGGACAGTATGAGATGCAACCTGGTGGTGTTGGATGGATGGAAACAATGTCCTAGAGGTGTTCTATTAGATTTAGGTCTGGCAAGTGTGAAAACCAGCCAGTGGTATCGGTTCCTTCATTTTCCAGGAACTGGCTGCATACTCTCGCCACATGAGGCCGGTCATTGTCACGCACCAGGAAGAGCCCAGGACCCATTGCGCAAGCATACAGTCTGACACTGGTTCAAGGATTTCATCCTGATGCCTAACAGCAGTCAGGGTACACTGGCTAACCTGTAGCGTTTTGTCCAGTTTCCTCAAAGGATGCTCTACACAGCATGTCAAAATATGCCAAGTTTTCAGCTACAGCTAAAATATAGCTCTGGTCTCTTTGTTAATAGCCAACAGAATTATCTCTTAATGCGTTGACACAACACTGCCACTGAAAGACACCGAATTCAAAATTTATCCCAGGAGTTAATGCCTTTATGCTTGAGCGATTCAATGACTGGTATGAAGAAGCTGACACAAAAGTATTCCTCTAAAAATGTGAGTTACAAGGAGAGAACTGAAAATGAGTACTTAAAAGCACTTAACGCACTCTTAAACTTGGTTCCACCAGGACCATCATCGACATTTAAGGCGTTTCAGGACTGTAACGATGTTAAACACTCAATGTAAGCGTCTACTTCACAAACAGCTTTTGACACTTTCACAAGAGCACAAAACTAAATGCGGGATCTTTGTTTATAAAGAAGTACGCCTATAATATGTTACTGCTACTTTTAGGTAATCATCAATCAACATTTAAAGACAATTTTAAATGTCTGAATGTGATTTAGGAGCATTTCTTCTCACCAGTAGGTTCCTGCACCCTGTGATGTCAGGTCCATCCCATCTACGCCGTAGTTGTCATCATCCATAATTTTGGAAAGACCAAAGTCAGTGATTTTAATTTCCCCACAGGCTGTGCCATCCACCAACAAGATATTACCTTCAAATCAAAACACATTAGGTCAGAACTACAGCAGTAATCACGCTCAATCAGAATCAGAATACTTTATTAATTCCAGGGGGGGGAAACGGTTTAAGACTGATCCGTTGTTCAGAAGGGGGTGTTTACCTGGTTTAAGGTCATAATGGATGATGGGAGGTTTGATTTCATTCAGGTATTTTAGTGCATTTACAATCTGCATGACTATGGACCGTGCCTCCTTCTCAGACATTAATTTATGCTGCTTCAAGTAGAAATCCAGGTCGTTGCCCTCGCAGTACTCCATAACGGTGCAAAACCTGTTGGATGGATAAATTAAGTAAGAATTACTTTGCACATTTTATAGCATGTGAAAGGTGTCAAAAAAATGCACTGAGTGACTGACGTGTCTGTGTCCAGTGAGAAGTAATCATAAAGTTTCACAATCCTGGGATGGTCCAACTCCTTGTGTATTCTGTACTCTCGACATGCATGCCTGTAGAAAAGGATGATATTTATCATACCATTAGCAACCAAAGCAGGAAGGTGCTGTGCTCCCTTATAATACAAACATATTCACACAGACTAACATACTTGTGATAGTTCTCTTTTTTTTCTTCTCTCCAGTTTTTGTTAAGTTGGTGGATTTTCACAGCAGCGTATCGTTGTTCAATCAAGTCAAAAGCCTGAACGACACAGTGACAGTTAGAATAAACCTGCACAGCAACACTTATTGAGAGTATTTTTCCATGTTTAATGACTTACCTTGTAAACTTCACTAAAGCCTCCTCTGCCTAGAAGATGCAGGAGCAGGTATCTTTCATTCAACGTTGGGTGATCTTTAAATCTTTAGATTGGAGAAAAAAATAATAATAATAAAAGGAGGGAGGAGTAAAATTAAAATTTGGACCTATATGTGAATCACAAATTAATAAAAATTTAGCTTTGCTAGATCAATTTATTTTAGGTTCAGCACTACAAAGACGAGCAAAAAGTCACATTATGCTGCTTATTAAAAACTTAACGGCAAGTCTTGCATAACAGTTGAAAGTGTCAAATTTCAGCTCCAAATACTGCACAGATAAATTATTTCACCCAGCTTCTGCAACGTTTTAAGAGGTCATTTTTCTGACTACAGGTGTAATCATGAACTGCTGCACACGACGGTTTACAGTAGAGTTCAGCGAGTGAGATAAAGGAGCAGCACACTGCATTACAGCTGATATACAGACATGAATAAATGAGGGGGGAAAAAAACAAAGAAATTCTGTTGCTTCTAGCACCTTCTCATTTTAGCTATGGCCGTCTGTGCAAGACAAGTAAGATGTTTTGGTTATAAAAGTCCAAATTTTAGCTGCTCAAACACTGTTTAGATGTTAACGTGCAGATTTTATGAAAACATTTCAGTCACATTTCAAAATCCAATCACTCTCAAAAGAAGCAAAAAATAAATACGTGATAATCCCTTTATTTTTATATAGCAAGTTCTTCAGTAAAGTGCAGGCAAGCACACAATATAAGGAGAGAGAAATCTGATGTGATCAATAAACCGAAGCACAAAACAGCAACCTCTTATTTAATTTTCGGTCTCAAAGCTCCCATAATTTTTAATTTCACTTTTAACGCAGCTGTAGTCTGTGTGAATACAATCAGAATTAATGTAATACTGCCAACCATATTTAGCAGCATGACATTTGCTATTACTCTAAGGACATTGCAAATACAAGTAATCCACTGGGTCTTCATTCCCCCTGGATACTGGAGTACATAAAGACTTATGGGCTGCAGGAGCAAACACAGAACAGACATTTTGTTCGGTTTGCTCA